AGAGAGAGAGAGAGAGAGAGAGAGATACACAGAGAAAAAAACAGACAGACAGACATAGACAGACACCGTTACATTGTTTTTACGTAACACAATAAGATCACATAAGTGCTGAAGATTATAGGTGTTATAAGAGAATAACAAACACAAAAATTTGAAAGATAAGGACGACTGTAGATGTCTGATAGGAAAGAAAGAGCAAACCACACAAGAGCACCTATCAACCACCCACAGACACCGTCAGACAGACAGACAGACAGACAGACAGACAGACAGACAGACAGACAGACAGACAGACAGACAGACAGACAGACAGACAGACAAGACATGGAGACAGATTTTAAAAAATCTGAAACAATTCTATGCTTTGGATCGGAATTACAGAATGTTCATTCCCTCTGACCCTCCAGAAGCAGACTTTGTGCTGATGAAGCTAGAGAGGTGAGCAGAGTAAGTCCGACTCCCTGTAAAGAATTCTCTGTTGACACCCACCCCTCGGCGCTCATATGCCCTTATGCAGTTGCGAGCGCCGTAAAACCATCTTCTATAAAAAATTTTTGGAGCCCCTCCCTCACCTTGTTGGCTGTGTTGAGGTCAATGTTGGCGGCCATCTCGGCGAGCTCCTTCAGGCCGTCCACGTTGCCCTCCTCCGAGGCACAGAACAGGGCCGCCATCACGAAGTTCTCCGCCTTGTCCTGTTGGCACAGAGGGGAAGAAAAACGAAAACAATAAGTCTATGCCTGTGATTGATTGATTGATAAAATCTTTTAATTAAATGAAAAAAATAGGGAGGTTGGGGTGGGGTGGGGTGGGGGTGGGTTGGAGCACACAACGACGGTAACTTCGTGCCGAGGAACTTTTAAAAAGGGGGGCTCGTTAGCGTAACGTAATTTTGTATTTTTTCAAAGTCAGGATGGGTTTGTGTAAACCACCATACAAGGCACACTTTTAGGGATTTTCGAAGTCGCTGCTCTACCAGGATACTGACAGAGAATACAAACGTTCCTGGCAGAGTCAGATGCCTGTGGATTTCACAAATAATACCTCAAAGCATACAATGAAGGAAGGAAAAAAAGTCAGTACATACAGAACCACAGAAGTACCAAAACATCCCCCCTCCCCTCCCCCCCCAAAAGAAAAGCATGGACATGAGTTAGTACAACTTGCTTTCATGTCAATACATGACTTGTCTGCACGTTCATTCTTTCAGAAGGGGGAGGGGGGGGGGAGTGCAGCCTCGTCTTTGACAGACCCTTCAACACGCACATTATTGCTCATGCTGTCGCTCTTGTTTTAATAGTTTAGTTTATATTGTTGCTATTCTTGTTGTTGAGTTGTGCTTTTCGTCGTGTGGGAATGATAATGACTTTATTTCACACACGCACACAACAACAACAACAACAACAACAACAAAAAACAATAACATCAACAACTAACCCCCCCCCCTACCAGACTATAATGTTCGAATAGATATGGAAAGAGCCCACCACATCAAAGGGATGACAATCCCCCTGCTCAACGCTTGGAGAAAATAAAGGGCTATCTGTTAGAACATTATGTAACACAACACATAAAGGCTCGGCCAACTTAGTACGTGATGCTGTTCAGCGCAAAGGGGGTTGGAGGTAGGTGGGGGTGGAAGATGTTATATATAAAAGACAGCCAGAGAGCTAGCTTCTGAGAAGGAAGACAAAGCAAACACACCAAATGGGCAAACCCCAGGGTTTTGAACATACACTATGCAGCATTTTATGACCAAAGATTTAATGTCATTACAACGTTTGTTGATTTTCCAAAGGAATGACCCCTTCTGGATTAAAGAGATCCATCTTCCCTGCTTGGATGTTTTGATGGAATGTACAATACTGCGAGTCAGCGCGAGGAACGAGAGCATAATGACATGAATAAGAATAATCACATAATAGTGGCACTGAAAATAAGACGGGCAGAGGATGCGAAAGTATCCATCAAATGCCAAGTTTCAAATCCCAAAGGATAAGACTGTCTTTTCCCACGAGGACAACTTAGAATCCACGATCTCACTGAAAGTGTATCGCGTACATTCTTCCAAACACCATGCACCACATCCAACTGAATCGTCGCATCAGGTACACCCATCACAAGGCACGAAAAGAAAAAACACACACATACAAAAACTTAGGTATAAAATACACACAAACACAGGCATGAGCACACACACACACGCATGAGCACGCACACATGCGTGTGCACGCACGCGCGCGCACGCACACACACACACACACACACACACACACACACACACGCA